TTTCAACAGAAGTTGAACACATTTACCCTTTTTATGCTATTTTTCTGTGTTATTGTGGCCATTTTTACTATAGCAAAAAAGAGTGATTATTTCACCTGATGGCCTGTTGCTTTTTGTTTTTTCCTTTTAAGAAATCACAAAGCAGCCTATGACTTTAAAGCTCTCTTAAAAAATAATATTTTAGAGGTTTCTATTCATGTCCTGGATGCTTAGTAAGAAGAGAAAGAAATCACAAAGCAGCCTATGACTTTAAAGCTCTCTTAAAAAATAATATTTTAGAGGTTTCTATTCATGTCCTGGATGCTTAGTTTTTAAATATCCTGCTAATCATAATGGTGTCATATATTCATTAATTAATATATCAATGAACAATAATTCTTAAATTAAGGTTCATCATTAATAATTGACTGTCGTGATGTAATATCATATAAATATATGCCAACATTTTGTTTAGAATTTTAGTACCTATGTTTATGAGGGCTTATCCAAGGAATGTAAGATTGGCTTGACATTCAAAATCAATAAATGCAACTCATTATATTGACAAACTAAAAAAGAAACATCACATAAGATATCACAGAACATTTAAGATTCAAATATCCACTCTCAGAAGGGAAGGCCCCATGAATTTCCTTCCACATTCTAACTCGTGGAAAAGACCTAGTAAGATTAAGAAGATCCACATATTATAGTGTATGTACTAAAGGATATTTTATTCCATGTGGTTATGACCTTAAAAAATCAAACTGGATTCATTTTTTGTTTCTGAAAGGAACTCTAATAACTCAAGATAAGAGTATCTTCCTGCCTAATAGTTGTCACACTACAAACTCATGCTGACAGAATATGATTACACTACTTTTGTACCCAAATGTAAGGTTGGGGGAACGGGGAAATGAGCATGAGCTCTACTATGCTATCTCCTTTGAGATTCATATCTTATCTTTGAAGGAAATACTCAACAAAGAAACTGTTCACATTTGAAGCTTTGGTAAAGGTTATGGTATAATAGTTGTTAAGCTCCACAAATTGTGCAGTTGTCTTGTTATTTTATCAAGTGCATTTACATAGTGCCAGACACATATGCAAAATACAATTTAAAACTGAGACCATTAAATTATATCCATTATTTCTCACTCTAGAAACTTCTGAAACTTATGGGTGACAGATTTGTCAAGAAGTTCTCTTTACCAACTAAAGAAAGAACAACCCAACCTCTGTTATGAACTGTCATTAGTAATTTAGCAGAGCTAGAAGGCAGTTCAGCCGAGTAGACAGAAAATTAAAACATGGGCAGCTCCTGATTGGAAATTTATTCATAACAGGTAATGAAATAGCACAGTCAGGATCTCTGGTATTACTCAGAGTGAAAGATTTAATTCTGATAACTCTGATGATGACACTTGAATCAGAGATTATAAATGGTGACAGGTTGTGACATACAGATAGAATGAAATGAGCATCAGCAACATATCTCTACAGAAGCTGATTCTATATAAGATCAACATTTTCTTAATTTCAAAAATTATTACAAGTTTTCAAAAAAGAGGTTTATTAGGGCCTTAGGCAAATACTGTACCATTTTTATATCTACTTTTCAATGGAGTATAATATTAATCAACATATCATATTTATATCTTAAAACATGAAGTATAAATTGCTGTTTCTGATTTCATCTGGATAAGGAACAAGCCCAAAATTATAGACGAATAGCTATCCTATGTATAGAGTACTAGTAAAGGTTTGGGTTTTCCTGTGTTTATATGCATGAAAAGAATACTCATTAAGTGCAGCCACATAAAAATAATGTTATTTGTAAAGAATAATAATTTTTATTTTGGATTTTCTATGCCTTTTTATATTTTCTAATTAACAAAAATGGCATTATTAGTTTTATAATGATTAGTATATTTTTTGAAAATTGCCTATTTCAGACAAACTCTCTACCACAGAAATACAGCTGAGAAAAATAACAATATTTCCACAAAGACAGGTATTTCAATACATCTCTTTTGAATTTGTGAACTGGCATATTTACTGTGTATGGTTAAAACTTGTTAGATGTGGGGATTTTAAAACTTAGTCCTAAAATTCTTTAATACTCCTGTCACTGAAATGAAAGGGTCTATGCCCCTTGAATCTGTAACTGTTTGGACAATAGCTTATAGCAGAAATGACGCCATGTCAGTTTCCAGACCCAGACCGTAACATGGAAGAGAAGAAATGTCACACTGACCTATGCCCCAATTACAGATCTGGAAGTAAACAACTGCTGTTGTCCGAAGTCACTAAATTTTGAGCTGGTTTGTTAAGCAGCAATAAATAACCAAAAAAGCATCAGACTTTCATCATGAATGCTGATTATAAAAATGGTTTTCGCATTACACCAAAACAATGTTATATTACATATTCTATAACTAGTCAGAAGGAAGAAAATGTAAAAAAAAAGAAAAATGCAGTACACTTTCATCAGGCTAACATAAATTTTATCAATAAAGTTTTTAATAAATTACAACACAGTATTGAGAAAATAATTCAAAGAATTTTAGAATCTTTAGTATGTTATAAATTGAAAAACCTAAATATTACAGAATTATTTGCTTAAATTTGGTGATTTAACTTTTTAAATTTGGTTTTATAGGATTTATCTACATTGTTTAATGATGTTGTAACTAAAAGCATAAACCTATATAGAAAATACTAATTCTATAAAAATTAGAGAATTTAAATATTGTCAAATAGAACCACATACTGAATAATAGAAATACATTTTAAATGGAACTATATTTATGGAGGTCTAAGCCTACATGACATAATGCAGCCCCGAAAAGTCATGATAAAAAAATAACAAGCTAAAATCATACTACATGTTATTTACCAAAAGTAAGCACTTGAGAAAGATTAATAGTTAATTCAATAAAAAAGAAACTAAGTATTGGGTTGGCCAAAAAGTTCGTTTGGGTTTTTCGGTAACATCTTATGGAAAAACCCAAACTTTTTGGCCAACGCAATATTAAATATGCCTTAATTTCGGTAATATAAACAATAGAATTGTTTTAAGACAATTATGTATAATTCCCTTTCCTTAGAAAACTGGATAACTTTAAATGGACTTTGAGAGCTCAGGATACAGAAAAATACCCTATAATAAATATTTTAATAAAATAAAGAATCATTTTATAACATAAAAATCCACCTACTTCATGTACTTCTTTTCAAGACACAGTTCTACAGCAGAATAGTTTCAAAACATAAAAATTTAGTGTATTTCTTTCATAAGACACAGTCCTACAGGATAGAGTCAACATTATTCATTCATCCAAATATGAACCAGAAAGTTCAATTAATTGTATTTCTTTTCCACAAGCTACTTTGACAAGATTTACTCAATAATGAAATTGTTAAGAATCATATCATAGAATTAGCACAAGTTCAGTCCTTTTTACTCGTTATAAATCTACAGTATAAAAAGCAATATTCAAAAGGTGACACAAATACAAAATACCTTTACAGAGGGAATTGTATTAATCCCAAAACTCTGTCTCCTCTTATAATGAAAACCTGAGAACCAGAATGATTAATCGATTTGTACCAGAGTGAAACTAGGCCTGGAACCCTGCCACCTGCTTCTAACTCTTGTGTCTTTTCTCATATATTATGCTGCTTCATCTGGCACGAGTGATTCCTATACAGCTATGAAATATAAAATAATGCATGATAATAAGAAAAGAGTGAAGCAAAACAACTTCCTCCGTATAAAAGTCATCTAAAAAAAAAAGTCATCTAATTTATGCTGAAACATTAGAATTTTTCATTTTATCAAAGTCCTTGCTGAAGCATTTTTCTACACTGTTTGTTTTCCAGATATGTGCATATTTATTTATGGCACAACATCCAACAGAAAATTCATTAAACTCTTTCAGAAATATTATAAAAATTAGTTATACATTACTGGACACTCTGCTACTTTTAGTATGCCTGAAATCATATTTTCATTATATTTTCACTTATGATAAAAAATGGATACAAGCTGATAGTATTTTTTATTTTACAAAATTTTTGCCATATTTTGGAATTTAGATTTAATCACCTAAAACACCCTTCTAGTTAGATGGCAAGTCAGAGATGTATTTAATCTTAAGGAATTGTTTTAGCATTAAGCCTTAGTTTATTATCTGTGAGATGGTCATAACAATAGTACTTACCACATGTAAGTAGAATTGTTGTGCAGAATAAATAAAATATGTAGCTAATATATCTAAATCCTTGGCACCATACCTGACATATTACATACTAATAAATGTTAGTTGTTATTATAGTTTAGCTGCAACCAAAAACATGGTAATATTAAGATTTAGCTGTGATCAAAAACATGGTAATATTAAGATAGCAAAACATAAAGTATGATTTTTAAAAAATGGCCTACTTAAAACAATGTGTATTCTTCTATTAAAAGGTGATTTGCTATGTTTAATTCAAACTGATAAAGTAGTTTTTAGATATCAAAAAATTATTCATATTAACCTTTTAAGGGGCAATATAACCAATATATTTTAAATAGCATATGATTTGTAAAACCGAAATTTAGTGCAACTTACCATTAATACATGTGCTAATCAAAACAAGGTAAATTCTATTAGTATGTTAAACATTTCTCATAAAATTTTTTTTAAAAATTAAGAAAATTAAATACCAGTGAGAGAGTATACATACAATGAATTTAGTAAAGTTCCTTGAATTATTATTATTTTTTTGCAGTACATGGGCCTCTCACTGTTGTGGCCTCTCCCGTTACGGAGCACAGGCTCCGGACGCACAGGCTCAGCGGCCATGGCTCACAGGCCTAGCCACTCCGCGGCATGTGGCATCCTCCCGGACCGGGGCATAAACCCGTGTCCCCTGCATGGGCAGGCGGACTCTCAACCACTGTGCCACCAGGGAAGCCCCCTGGAATTATTTTTTAAACAAATAAAAGACATTTCCATATTCTATGTACGTACCTGGAGTAGGCAAACAATCGACTATCCCAAAGATTATGATTCCCTCTCGGTCCGTAATGAAAGTAACAGGACTCTGTCCCATCAAACATATTCAATCCATCTTCTGAATTTTTTGAGGCATGGCTATGTACCATATCTAAGAGGACTGTAATACCCATTGAGTGAGCTGTGTCAACCAGTTCTTTCAGCTCTTCAGGCGTTCCAAAACGGCTTAAGGTAAAGGAGACAGCAAAAACAAGATCACATCATATTTAAACCAAACAGCCAATCATTTACTGAGAATCAACTGTTTTACCAGCATAGTACTAGATACTTCAAATGTACAAATGTAGTATAATATAATACTTAGATATAAATCAAAGTTGCTTAATAGTTGTTGTTAGGCATTTTTAAAAGCATTCAATAAAAAAATAAATCTGGCTGTTAATTGTAGATTTATAGCACAATGAAAATTCACATTTTGAGTAGGTAGATAGTAAAATTCCGCTTCTCTATACTCAGAGCTTCTGATTTCCAACGCCAAGCCTAGCTAGTTTGAGGGGTATGGTCATTCCTGTCCACATACCTGGCCATCCCTTTAAGCATGCATGGTTGGGATTGTGAGGGCTCTTAGAATACTTCTTTGAATATCCTTGGTGCCTTAATTGAGGCCATTTCTCCTGTACTTACTTATTCCTAGATTGGAATGCCTCAAGTACCAGCGGGTCCTGTCACCACCCAAGCCAGAAAGATGGGCAGCTCACACGCACATGGGTTTGTGTTAAAAACAGTTTTCTAGTCAGCGTGAAATAGGGAACAAAAATCACTCCCAAGAGGAAGGCCTTTCTTAACCTATATAAAAATCTCAATACTGCAGTCTTCCATAGCATCAACTTTTGCTTTTAAATAAAAAATCACCCTTGTGATGAACTGTTTACTATCTCTCTTCCTCACTAGACTATATGTCCCTTGAGGGCAGGGGCTCTGACCATCTAGTTTCCCACGCTACAGTACAGTGCTTAGTATGCAGTGGGGCTCCTGATAGCAGATTCCATGGAGCAGCAAGCAAATACTCTAGTGTGGCTGGAGTGGAATAATCAAGAAAGAGATGAGCTCAGAGAGTTGGCCAAGAACCAGATCACATGCGGCCTCATGGATCAATGTAAGGCATTTGGCTTTTATTCCGAAAGGGACAGGGAATCATTAGAGTTCTGAGCAAGAGAGTGACATGATCTGACTTTCATTTTAAAAAGAGGACTTTACATACTGTGCAGAAAGTGGTCCACATGTGTGGAGGGGGAGAAAGCTAGGGAAGGAGGACAAGAGAATAGAGTGACCAGTTACAGACCTAATGAAATAATGCAGGTGAGAAACAGCAACTTGGACCATGGTGGTAGCAGTTGAAGCAGCCAGATTGGGAATATATTTTGAAGTTACCGGTGGCTAGGTTTTCTGATAGCTAGAGTATAGGGAGGGGACATAAAGGAAAAGTCAATTATAAGGCAGATGGCTAAAACAATTGGAAGATGGAGATGTCATTTATTATGTTAGTGAAGATAGCAAGAGAAGAAGGTTAGAAGATCAGATCAGATATTTAATCTGGAACAGGTTAAGAATGAGATATGTATTACATACCCCAACCTCAAATAGACACTGTTTGGAGTTCACAACAGAGGTGAGGACTGGAGAACTAAATCTGGCAGGTGGCATATAAAGTGTATTTGAGGAGACTGATTCAAGATGGTGGAGTACAAGGACGTGCTCTCACTCCCTCTTGCAAGAGCACCAGAATCACAACTAACTGCTGAACAATCATTGACAGGAAGACACTGGAACTTACCAAAAAAGATACCCCACATCCAAAGACAAAGGAGAAGCCACAATGAGATGGTAGGAGGGGCACAATCCAAAAAAATCAAATCCCATAACTGCTGGGTGGGTGACTCACAAACTGGATGACACGTATACCACAGAAGTCCACCCACTGGGTTAAAGGTTCTGAGCCCCACGTCAGGCTTCCCAACCTGGGGGTGCGGCAATGGGAGGAGGTATTCCTAGAGAATCAGACTTTGAGGGCTAGCGGGATTGAACTGCAGGACTTTGACAGGAATGGGGAAAACAGAGACTCCACTTCTGGAGGACACACACAAAGTAGTGTGCACGGTGGGACCCAGGGGAAGGAACAGTGACTCCACAGGAGACTAAACCAGACCTACCTGCTAGTGTTGGAGGGTCTCCTGCAGAGGCGGAGGGTGGCTGTGGCTCACCATGAGGACAAGGACACAGGCAACAGAAGTTCTGGGAAGTACTCCTTGGCGTGAGCCCTCCCAGAGTTAGCCATTAGCCCCACCAAAGAGCCCGGGTAGGCTCCAGTGTTGGGTTGCCTCAGGCCAAACAACGAACAGGGAGGGAAACCAGCTCCACCCATCAGCAGACAAGCCAATTAAAGTTTTACTGAGCTCTGACCACCAGAACAACAGCCAGCTCTGACCCACCACCAGTCCTTCCCATCAGGAAACATGCACAAGCCTCTTAGATAGCCTAATCCAACAGAGGGCAGAGAGCAGAAGCAAGGAGAACTACAATCCTGCAGTCTGTGGAACAAAAACCACATTCACAGAAAGAGAGACAAGATGAAAAGGCAGAGGGCTATGTACCAGATGAAGGAACAAGATAAAACCCCAGAAAAGCAACTAACTGCAGTGGAGATAGGTAACCTTCTAGAGAAACAATTCAAAATAATGATAGCGAAGATTATCCAGGACCTCAGAAAAAGAAAGGAGGCAAAGATTGAGAAGATGCAAGAAATGTTTAACAAAGACCTAGAAGAATTAAAGAACAAACCAACGGGGATGAACAAAACAATAACTAAAATGAAAAAATACACTGGAAGGAATCAGTAGCAGAATAACTGAGGCAGAAGAAAAGATAAGTGACCTGGAAGACAGAAAGGTGGAATTCACTGCTGCAGAACAGAATAAAGAAAAAAGAATGAAAAGAAATGAAGACAGCTTAAGAGACCTCTGGGACAACATTAAACACAACAATATTTGCATTACAGGGGTCCCAGAAAGAGAAGAGAGAGAGAAGGGACCGAGAAAATATTTGAAGAGATTATAGTTGAAAACTTCCCTAACATGGGAAAGGAAATAGCCACTCAACTCCAGGAGGTAGAGAGTCCAATACAGCATAAACCAAGGAGAAACACGCTGAGAAACATAGTAGTCAAATTGGCAAAAATTGAAGGCAAAGAAAAATTATTGAAAGCAGCAAGGGAAAAAAGACAACACACAAGGGAACTCCCATAAAGTTATTAACACCTGATTTCTCAGCAGAAACTCTACAAGTCAGAAGGGAGTGGCATGACATATTGAAAGTGATGGAAGGAAAGAACCTACAACCAAGATTACTCTACCCAGCAAGAATCTTATTCAGATTCAATGGAGAAATCAAAACCTTTACAGAGAAGCAAAAGCTAAGAGAATTCAGCACCACCAAACCAGCTCTACAGCAAATGCAAAAGGAAATTCTCTAAGTGGTAAACACAAGAGAAGAAAAGGAACTACAAAAACAAACCCAAAACAATTAAGAAAATGGTCATAGGAACCTACATATCAATGATTACCTTAAATGTGAGTGGATTAAATGCTCCATCCAAAGGCCACAGGCTCGCTGAATGGATACAAAAACAAGACCCATATATATGCTGTCTACAAGAGACCCACTTCAAACCTAGGGACACATACAGACTGAAAGTGAGAGGATGGAAAAAGATATTCCATGCAAATGGAAATCAAAAGAAAGCTAGAGTAGCAATACTCATATCAAATAAAATAGACTTTAAAATAAAGAACGTTACAAGAGACAAGGAAGGATACTACATTACGATCAAGGGATCAATCCAAGAAGAAGATATAACAATTATAAATATACATGCACTCAAAATAGGAGCACCTCAATACATAAGGCAACTGCTAACAGCTATAAAAGAGGAAATTAACAGTAGCACAATAATAGTGGGGGACTTTAACACCTCTCTTACGCCAATGAACAGATCATCCAGACAGAAAATTAATAAGGAAACACAAGCTTTAAATGATACAATAGACCAGATAGATTTAATTGATATTTGTAGGACATTCCATCCAAAAACAGCAGATTACACTTTCTATTCAAGTGCACACAGAACATTCTCCAGGACAGATCACATCTTGGGTCACAAATCAAGCCTTGGTAAATTTAAGAAAACTGAAATCATATCAAGCATTTTTTCTGACCACAACGCTATGAGATTAGAAATAAATTACAAAGGAAAAAACGTAAAAAACACAAACACATGGAGGCTAAACAATATGTTACTAAATAACCAAGAGATCACTGAAGAAATCAAAGAGGTAATCAAAAAATACCAAGAGACAAATGACAACGAAAACATGATGACCCAAAACCTATGGGATGCAGCAATAGCAGTTCTAAGATGGCAGTTTACAGCAATACAAGCCTACCTCAAGAAACAAGAAAAATCTCAAATAAACAATCTAACCTTACATCTAAAGTAACTAGACAAAGAAAAACAAACAAAACCCAAAGTTAGCAGGAGGAAAGAAATCATAAAGATCAGAGCAGAAATAAACAAAATAGAAACAATGAAAACAACAGCAAATATCAATAAAACTAAAAGCTGGCTCTTTGAGAAGATAAAAAAAAAACATGATAAACCATTTGCCAGACTCATCAAGAAAAAGAGGGAGAGGACTCAAATCAATAAAATTAGAAATGAAAAAGGAGAAGTTACAACAGACACTGCAGAAATACAAAAGAATCATAAGAGACTACTACAAGCAACTCTATGCCAAAAAAATGGACAACCTGGAAGAAATGGACAAATTCTTAGAAAGGTATAAGCTTCCCAAACTAAACCAGGAAGAAATAGAAAATATGAACAGACCAATCACAAGTAATGAAATTGAAACTGTGATTAAAAATCTTCCAACAAAGGGCTTCCCTGGTGGCGCAGTGGTTGAGAGTCTGCCTGCCAATGCAGGGGACCCGGTTTTGTGTCCCGGTCCAGGAAGATCCCACATGCCACAGAGCAGCTGGACCCATGAGCCATGGCCGCTGAGCCTGCGCGTCCGGAGCCCGTGCTCCGCAACAGGTGAGGCCACACAGTGAGAAGCCCTCATACCGCAAAAAAAAAAAAAAAAAAAAATCTTCTAAAAGCCCTTGTAATGGGCTGAACTGTGTCCCCCCAAATTCATATGCTGAATATGTATTTTGTAGTTCACACATGTATATGTATTTCCTTCTTACCGTAACAAAGGAGATGCTACAAAAGTACTAACTCTACTTTTATTTCACTTCTTGTTACCTGTACATTCTACCAACACTGCCTACCTTCACCTTACCTATAAGGAAGGACTGCAAAGGAAGGAACTATAGGAAAGAAACATACTTTCTTCCTGTGTCCTAATTTTCAGCCTAAGTATTGTCTAATACACAGAAGTAACATGAATAAGAAAGGATATGATGGGGGGATCCTTACCATATTAACAAATTGAAGGAGAAAAACCATATGATCATCTCAATAGATACAGGAAAAGCTCTTGACAAAATTCAACACCCATTTATGATAAAAACTCTCCAGAAAGTGGGCATAGAGGGAACCTCAACATAATAAAGGCCAGATATGACAAACCCACAGCAAACATCATTCTCAATGGTGAAAAACTGAAACCATTTCCACTAAGATCAGGAACAAGACAAGGTTGCCCACTCTCACCACTCTTATTCAACATAGTTTTGGAAGTTTTAGCCACAGCAATCAGAGAAGAAAAGGAAATAAAAGGAATCCAAATCGGAAAAGAAGAAGTAAAGCTGTCACTGTTTGCAGATGACCTGATACTATACATAGAGAATCCTAAAGATGCTACCAGAAAACTACTAGAGCTAATCAATGAATGTGGTAAAGTAGCAGGATACAAAATTAATGCACAGAAATCTCTTCCATTCCTATACACTAATGATGAAAAATCTGAAAGAGAAATTAAGGAAACACTCCCATTTGCCACTGAAAGAAAAAGAATAAAATACCTAGGAATAAACCTACCTAGGGAGGCAAAAGACCTGTATGCAGAAAAGTATAAAACACTGATGAAAGAAATTAAAGATGATACAAACAGATGGAGAGATATACCATGTTCTTGGATTTGAAGAATCAATGTTGTGAAAATGACTGTATTACCCAAAGCAATCTACAGATTCAATGCAATCCCTATCAAATTACCACTGGCATTTTTTACAGAACTAGAACAAAAAATATTAAAATTTGTATGGAGACACAAAAGACCCCAAATAGCCAAAGCAGTCTTGGAGGAATCAGACTCCCTGACTTCAGACTATACTACAAATTTACAGTAATCAAGACAATATGGTACTGGCACAAAAAGAAATATAGATCAATGGAATGGGATAGAAAGCCCAGAGATGAACCCAGGCAACTATGGTCAACTAATCTATGACAAAGGAGGCAAGGATATACAATGGAGAAAAGACAGTCCCTTCAATAAGTCATGCTGGGAAACTGGATAGCTGCATGTAAAAGAATGAAATTAGAACACTCCCTAACACCATGCATAAAAATAAACTCAAAATAGATTAGAGGGCTTCCCTGGTGGCACAGTGGTTGAGAGTCTATCTGCCAATGCAGGGGACACGGGTTCGTGTCCTGGTCTGGGAGGATCCTGCATGCCGTGGAGCAGCTGGGCCCGTGAGCCATGGCCACTGGGCCTGCGCATCCGGAGCCTGTGCTCCACAAGGGGAGAGGCCAAAACAGTGAGAGGCCCGCGTACCACAAAAAAAATAAATAAAATAAAATAAAATAAAAAATGGATTAGAGACCTAAATGTAAAACCAGACACTATAAAACTCTTAGAGGAAAACATAGGAAGAACACTCTTTGACATAAATCACAGCAAGATCTTTTTTGATCCACCTCCTACAGTAATGGAAATAAAAACAAAAATAAACAAATGGGATATAATGAAAGTTAAAAGCTTTTGCACAGCAAAGGAAACTATAAACAAGATGAAAAGACAACCCTCAGAATGAGAGAAAATATTTGCAAACGAATCAACGGACAAACGTTTTATCTCCAAAATATATAAACAGCTCATGCAGCTCAACATTAAAAAAACAAACAACCCAATCCAAAAATGGGCAAAAGACCTAAATAGACATTTCTTCAAAGAAGACATACAGATGGCCAAGAAGCACATGAAAAGCTGCTCAACATCACTAATTATTAGAGAAATGCAAATCAAAACTAAAATGAGGTATTACCTCACACCAGTTAGCATGCGCATCATCAGAAAATCTACAAACAACAAATGCTGGAGAGGGTGTGGAGAAAAGGGAACCCTCTTGCACTGTTGGTAGGAATGTAACTTGATACAACCACTATGGAGAACAGTATGGAGGTTCCTTAAAAAACAAAAAATAGAATTACCATATCACCCAGCAATCCCACTACTGGGCATATATCCAGAGAAAACCGTAATTCAAAAAGACACATGCACCCCAATGTTCACTGCAGCACTCTTTACAATAGCCAGGTCATGGAAGCAACCTAAATGCCCATCGACAGACGAATGGATAAAGAAGATGTGGTACATATATACAATGGAATATTACTCAGCCATAAAAAGGAACGAAATTGGGTCATTTGTAGAGACGTGGATGCATCTAGAGACTGTCATACATAGTGAAGTAAGTCAAAAAGACGAAAACAAATATAGTATGTTAATGCACAGATGTGGAACTTAAAAAATGGTACAGATGAACTGGTTTGCAGGGCAGATATTGAGACACAGATGTAGAGAACAAATGTATGGACACCAAGGGGGGAAAGCAGCCAGCTGGGTGGTGTGATTAATTGGGCAATTGGGATTGACATATATACACTAATATGTATAAAATGGATAACTAATAAGAACCTGCTGTATAAAAAAATAAATAAAATAAAATTCAAAATAAAATAAAGTGTATTTGAGTCATCAGAATGGATGAGACCTTAAAGGTCCTTCTATAGATACAGGAGGGAATGAAGCCAAGGGCTGAGCACTGGAAGGGCCCATCTTTAGTGGTCAGAAAGAGCAAACAAAGTAAAGAAGAAACAACCAAACATGTGAGAAAAACAATAGGAAAGTTTAATATTCTGAAAGCCAAGAGAAGGAAAAAGTTGCAAGAAGGTAGGAGTAATCAATTGTGCCAAATGCTGCTGACAAGTAAGCTAAGAACTGATGATTGACTTTACAAGGCAGAGGGCAACAGTATCCTAGACAGGAGCAGTTTCAGCAAAGTGGTGGAGCGTGTACTTGGAATGAGTTCAACAAAGAAGAGGAATTAGAGACAACAAGGACAGATAACTCGTTCAAGGAGAAGTCCTATGAAGAGAAACAGGTGAAGGGACCAGTATGTCTAGAATGCTATCTACCTACTCCCACTTCACTCCTCCCCGCAGGTATCTCTTTTTTTTTTTAGATTTGAAAACTGTTTATCTCTTAATCATGTTTTAGATCTCAGTTGTAACATCAGTTCAGATCTAATCTAAACTGATTAGACCCCTGATTCTATGCTATCGGAGAAATCTGCCATCTTCTTCTTAGCTTTTATTACATGTGGAAATCATAATATGTATGATTATTGGATTTATGTCTGTATGCCACCACCCTGTAAGCTCCATGTGGCAGAGACAATGTTGGACTTGTTCAACTTATGGTTATTCGGGTCAATACCTCTCTGCATAGGACCCCTTGACGTCTTTCTGCCCAGAGAGCAATATTCCTTGGATTTCACCCTGGGAAGAAGGAAACTCCTTCCGTGGGTAGTATATATCCCACCAAGGGCCTCCTCAGTTACCTTCCTATATAAGCCAATCTCTTTCCAGAAAAGGATACGAGCTCTAGCAATAATGGCCTCCATAAGTCAGGATTTTCTGACTGAAGCTTAGGCCTCCAAACATATCACAATTTCAGCAGGCTAACTGGATATCCTGTACCAGAAATCATTTTGTGAAAAGCAATGTTAAATCAGGCCAGACTCTAAGGCTTGATGAGAAGAGTCTATGATCTTAATAAAAGAAAATGCTCAGCTTCTATTAGCTCTGTTAACCCTAAAATAGTTATAAGATGTCACACAGAATACAGAAATCATTTCATTTTTTAAATGTTTTGTTCAAACAAGAATGGATATAATTTCTTTCATTTTACCTTGAAGCTGCAAAGAAGCTTGTGATTTGGTAACCAAAACTGGCATAGTAAGCATGTTCCATGATCGCCATCAACTGAATGCAATTGTACCCTGTATAAGCAAAGGTCAAATAGAGATTAAGAGCCACATTTTAAAAAAGTAATGAAAACAATATATAAACACAGCACCCTGTTCAAAAGGCATTAAATTTTACATATGATCTAGAAGATTTGGTCATTTTGAAAAGTTCTACTACTTTAACATCTTTGCTTGTCTGACCTTCTAACATAAAATCAGACAGTTAGTTCTTGAGGGTTATAGTCTAGCTATTTGAAATGTCTTCATTTTAATAAGTAATAAGTGATATGCAAATATACTTAATTTGGCTTTAGAATATTAAAGATGGCAATCTGCATATGCTAAACTTCAGTTGCACTTGTAATATTCATATCAAAGATTGTGAAAGCCAAATAAAAGTAACTGATTGCAGGCCATGTACTTTTTATTTCACCTTTTTCTTTATATTTCTCTTTTTTCTAGCATAAGATATACCATACCACTGAATCCATTTTTCTACAAGGTAGCTTTTATAAAGCCAGCATTAATGCTTCCATTTTCCACTGTTTCTAGGACCTATAAAATTACTCCACAGTCATCCATGGGCACACGTGTGTGCGCACGTGCACACACACACACACGTACACCCACATACATCCTTCCTTTCTCTATCTGAATATGTTTTGCTTTAACACTAAATGAATTGACTCAAATGAACTGACTCAAAAAGATAGGTATGTATTTTTTAAAATCCTTAACACAAATATATTTATTAATGTGTTTTTAATGTAAGCAAATAATCAGAGTAGAAGAAACTTTTAAAAAACTAAAAAAATCATTTTCTTCAAATTAAAATATGGTAAAATTTTCAAATATGATTTAATTGCCTTCTGCAACATGCAAAGAAAATATTCCTATTCTGTTCTCAACGTCTAATTCATGTCAATATAACTTCTTGTGCACATATTTTAGTACATAATTAATATTGGAACAATTACGAATTCACGTTCAGAACTGAGGATTCGTAAGTTTAAAGGATAACATAAACTCCATGATTCAGAATCTGTTGAAAAGTTATTACTGTTGGCTTTATTGTTAAAAAAAGAAACAAATTAACTCTATCAGGCCTAGTAGAAATATGTATATAAACTACTGCTCAATAATATAAATCAAGTATAATACTTAGTCACAAAATACAGAGTTTGTAGTTTATTTCTCTATTATGTAATCAATATTATTCTTCTGACCAAGTAACCGTTTATAGCTTTTATTATACATTTTATGTCATTAACCATTCCTAAACTTACTTATGATCAGAGTACTGGGCTAGGTAATTCAAACACAAAGATGAATAAGAAAATCCTTGTTCTGCTGAAACTTCTGTAAGATCCAGGTCATAAACAATTTATTACAGTATGAAATGAGAGACCATCTCAAGTATAACAATAATAATATAATATTTATTAAATATAATTTATATTAAATTATCCAAACATTTAATTAATTTTGGCTTCTGGAACCTGACCTCAGCATCTCAGGTAATCAAGATCCCTATATAACTAAAAATTTCAACCATGAGAAACTTTTCCTCTAGCCAAAATGTGGACTGCCTACCAGAAGAAGACCAATTAAATGCAGTTTATCTTCCTGCCTAGCCACTGTGGCAGGTGCTAATATGCTGAGAAATGATAAAAAGCATTACCTATAAAAAGAAAATAACAGATCTAAAGCATTCTGAATCAATAATTCAGCAGTACACTATTCACTCTCCTGCTTGTTCCCATGAAGACAGGGTTTGTGTCGTCCAATACAAACACCTAGACCAATGTGACTCACACAGAAGGATGCACCACAAATATCTGTCTAATAAGTCATCCAGACAGGAGCTAGACATACGATGACTCTGAAACAAAATGAGTTCTAGTCACCTTACAAATGTAAGATTTTTTTCCCTAACAGACTAAAATGAGCAGGCTATAACCAATGACCACTTAAATTGATAAGAATTCTCTCCTGTAGGGCTTCCCTGGTGGTGCAGTGGTTGAGAGTCCGCCTGCCGATGCAGGGGACACGGGTTCGTACCCTGCTCTGGGAAGATCCCACATGCCGCGGAGCGGCTGGGCCCGTGAGCCATGGCCCCTGAGCCTGCATGCCCGGAGCCTGTGCTCCGCAACTGGAGAGGCCACAACAGTGAGAGGCCCGCGTACCGCAAAAAACAAAACAAAACAAAACTCTCCTGTGGAAAAGTAATTATGCTTACATATTTATCTATAATTTTGGAAGCCATCATTTCACATTAAAATTGAAATTGGAATAATATCTTGAATTCTTATGTTCTATCTTATTCCATTTCTCTTTTCTATGCTATCACTATTACAGGGCAATTTGAGAAGCCTAAAATAACATGCATTTCTATTACATATTTAATCTCTTAACACAATAAAAGAGACACTTGTAATTAGCTTCTCTAATAAGAGAACAGACTCATTAAAATTTTATCTGAATAAAAATCAGAGTTATTACTTACCAAGGTCTTTGATTCTTGGTAGTATATTGCATGTAAAATGTTTATAAGAAGCTATTTTTCCTTCATAGGAAGAAATTCCCACATGAGATTCATAAATTCGTAGACCTCTTGGCTTCTTTGGTTTGGAATGCTTAAACTACAGAATATTAAAATTACATATAGAATTAAGCCAAAAATGCAGGTATGACACTAACAGATTAAGCATGTTAAATGAAATGATGAATTAACTTAGTCAAACACTTTGAAACTACTTTCACGTATAAAAGGCACTGGCTGCCTCCATTAAACTTTCTTTTGAAAAAAAAAATCCTTTTTAGGATCATGGTAATAGACCTATTTGAAAAGAGTAGTCATGCAATGGCTTATGCCTTATCACTGAGTGAAGATGTATTTTGAGCCTAAGCCTTAGAGAAAACATAAGAACTGTGAAATACATACATAATTATTAAATGCAAAGCATTTATCAACAAGTATCGATAACTTAAAGGACAGAAAAGTGAGCTCCAAGATACCTACAACTCTTATCAAGACAGGCTTAAAAAATTACCCTAATTAATACATTCATGAGATGTCTTGACTATTCGTTGTTCCTAAGGACACTGATCCTGCTTCAAGTCCATGACAGTGAGAAATATTACACCACTGGAGAGTCTTTGATTAATCAGAAATTGTAGTTAAAATTTTTAAAAATCAGTATCCCTTATAGGTCAGTACATAGAGATTTAGTGTTCTTCCCCCGCCCACAACTTCAGAAATACGTGATAAAACAAAAACTCACTTTTATATTTTATTGGCTACAGATGATGGACTCTCTCTCTCTCTCTCTCTATATATATATATATATATATGTGTGTGTGTGTGTGTGTGTGTGTGTATATATATATATATATATATATATATATATATATATAGCAAACGAGTACACTATGATGTAAAATATTAAACCAGTGGTGAAGAGAGAAGTTGAACATTACAATAAAAGTTATAAAAGTAAAAATTAATTTTCCTAGAAATATTGGAACATGCATTTATTTAAAGAGTTGTTGTTCTCACTTTATATGGGTGTTCTGGATCCCAGTGTATCCAATCATAATTCACATTATCACTGTCACGAGTCACATACTTCGCCCACGGTGAAATACGATACAAGATCTCTCCACTTTTACTCCTAATAACAACCTAAAAAGAGAACAAGATATTATTGCCTTAAAATACTTTCAAAACTCTAAGATAATGCATGATACTCTATGAGCACTGTGACAAGTAAGAAAAGGAGGAATGATCTTAAGAACCAAAACTGCCTTCCAGATGTGTGACCTTAAGGGTGTTTAAATTCTATGTACCTTGCTCTCCTCATCTGCCATGGTATATGATCTCTAAAGTCATTTCCAGCTTGAATATTTTATGATTCTCTGGCAATTTTCATCATTGCCAACCAACCATTATAGTAGTTAATTAAAGTAAGCATACAGTAGATAGGAAAAAGACATGAATATTATTGGAAGCTACCGTCAATAAATCAATTAACAGAAGGAACTGATCCTAGTATATTTTTTAAAAAACTCATGAGTTATATCACCATCTCTTCCTTTTCCTTTTCATAGCAATTAATGATAACATGGGTTTTGACTAATAATTGTATTATACACACAAACACACACACTACCCTACAAACATTTTCCACTTCTCAATTTCTTCTACACCTTATTCCAAGTATGCTTTACCATATGAAACCAAACATTTTCCTTTTTAACCATTTGTTCCTATATTTGCCAATAGTATCACTATTGCTTTCAGTATAAAAATTAACAATAAAAATGCAGGGCTTCCCTGGTGGCGCAGTGGTTGAGAGTCCGCCTGCCGATGCAGGGGACATGGGTTCGTGCCCTGGTCCGGAAAGATTCCACATGCCGCGGAGCGGCTGGGCCCGTGAGCCATGGCCGCTGAGCCTTCGCGTCCGGAGCCTGTGCTCCGCAGCAGGAGAGGCCACAGCAGTGAGAGACCTGCGTACCGCAAAAAAGAAAAAAAAAAAAAAAAAGCAAAGGCAACTTTTACGGAATCCACCAGTTTAGACTTAGTACTGAATAGAGGGCTTTGAATTTATCAGCATGGTTAAATAGTGAACAGAGCTTCCAGGTATAGCTTTTTTAAGTTTTTTTTTTTTAATTAATTAAACCTTCTAAGAGTAGGTAGAGTGCGACAAAAAATGTTCAGATCAGTAGCTGATCTGAATGCTGAATGATCAATACGCTCTCAGCATTGAGAAAGAATATATTCTTCGGTCTCCTTTAATAGAGAAAAGCTCAAGTACGCATAATTTTTGGTCATTAAATATTTGTAGAATGTTTTATAGCTTAGAAAGGGCTTTCATAGTCATATCTCTCTTGATTCCAGAGAATTTTTTTTTTTTTTTTTTTTTTTTTTGGGCTGTATGCGGGCCTCTCACTGCTGTGGCCTCTCGCCCTGCGGAGCTCAGGCTCCGGACGCGCAGGCTCAGCGGCCATGGCTCACGGGCCCAGCCGCTCCGCGGCACGTGGGATCTTCCTGGACCGGGGCACGAACCCGTGTCTCCTGCATCGGCAGGCGGACTCTCAACCACTGCGCCACCAGGGAAGCCCCCAAAGAATCTTTATAACCCAAATATTAAGTGAGTAGCCAGAAGCCCCAAAGTAACCAACTGGCAGAACCAAAAGCTAAGCAGAGCTTCTGATACTTCCTTTTTCTTAACAGGCTTTAATGGAACTTCCTTCATATACAGAAAAAGAATAAATCATGATTTAAGGAGGAGGGGACGTGAGTGGTGAAAAGGGACATCTAACTTACATGAGCTCAATTCTATCTCCTTAGTTTTGCCTCCCACTTATTAAAACCCACCACAACTAAGTGTTTCTATTATTCAAATGGTTATCACAAAACATGAATGAATAGGATCAACCCAGTCCCGGAGTATTTTATCCCCCAAAATATATCCCTTAAGTCACATAAATTTCTAGTATAATACACACAGTGATATATTTGAGAAAAGGCTTTTTACTCACTCATCAACCCAGGACAGGTAATGGGGAAATAAAATACCAGAAATCAGTTTTCAATGGATAGCACCCTGCCTAGTCCATCCATCTATCTTTTCTCTTTTTTGCAAATGGCTCTACAACCCCTCCAAAGGATGATCATGAACCAATAAGTATTTTTCAAGGTGTCTGCTGGCAGAGAATATTTGAAACTTTAAGCAAAGAACATGAAGAATTTCCTTATGCTGAATATAATTTCCACATTCTTTGGAACATTAACTTATTTATCTTGCTGTACACGTGAATGTCTTCAGAGGTTACTGAGTGATGGAAGTTGGAAGGAACCGTCCTTCTATGGGTCTTTCTCACTCCTACATGTTTTGCTGGGTACGCCAAGAATATAAGGTCCTATTGATGACAGAGGCCATTTCTCAAGTTGTGTTTGTAGCAAGCAACCCTGAGGAATGAGATAATGTCTCCCTTGAAGACAATGCACAGCTTTCTTTACTGCTTGCTATAAAAGAAATGATTCCCCAAGGTAAATACTCCTCACCTATGAGGCAAACTAGCTGTGTGCACAGCATCCATGTAGACCCTATAGTGTCACCCCTTATAAGACTTAGAAAACAAGGGGAACTAATGCAAGTATGATGCACATCCTGTGCCATGAGTAATAAAGTCATTTATCTCTGACTCAGGAGTCCTGTGTTTTCTGCCAGAATCCACGAAACAGTAACAGGTTAACTTATGAGCTTGAAGGTACAGCAAAATCAGATCCTACACCTGACAATGGATGACTTACTCATTTTGAATGACTTCAATATTTTTGTTACCAAAAGTTCTATTTCTTCATTTCTATTAGTGTTTTATATTAGACATTTTTGTTCATCATTTTTATTAATTTTGCTTCTTGGGGTGGAAACTTTTAATTATCTATTTCCTTCCTTTTTTCTTAGCAATAAAATCAGAGCCTGGATCCTTGAATGAAATGTAAAACAAAGCTTCCCACCACATCTAGAACACTTCACTGTAATCATTACATAAATGGTAAATTCACTTCTCTATTCTTTAGGCTCCTGAATTTTGGATGTATTTTTGCTATAGCAGTTTAGATTTTACTAATAAACACACTTGCCAACAGTACCCACCTTACCTCGCCTTTGATTTACTGTTCCTAAGTTGCTGTGATAACAACTAAGAGTATTATAGTAAATCTAAATAACCCAAACTTGAGAGACCTTCCAATGACGAAAAAATATAACCTTCTGGACTAAATTTTGCTCCTGAAACGTTTTAGGGGGCAGAAAGGGGAGAGATGAGTATACTTACTGAATTTGTGCTCTCTTGAGTTCAGATTCAGATTTTTTAGATAAAACTTTATATCATTTAATTTACAACCTCAAAATAGAATATGTTATATAGCAAATTGAAAAGAAAGCTCTAGCTTGATTGATCTTTCAATGATAGTAAGTCTAATAGCTGATGGGTAGAAGAGTTCACTTGGTACTAGCAAACTGAAAGTCTCATACACTACTAGTATGAGTATAAAATAGTATGAACATTCTAAATAGCAATTTGGCAATATGATCAATAATTTTAAAAAAAGTAATTCTCAATGACTCAGCAATTCTAATTATAGATGTTTGCCCTGTAGAAATAATCAGAGAAGTGCCCAAAGAACTATATTCTTATCTATTAATCTTAGTGTTACTTTTATTAGCAAAAAGTGAATGACTGAATAGTGTATCCTTGTTAAAAATTATATCACTGAATTATATTGAAGGTTGCAAGAAAATTCTTTCAAGTTATAAAAAAGAATGTATTGCATCTTCCTAATGTACATATATACAAATGGTTGCCTATGGATAGGGAAATTATTAATAGCTTTTATTTTCCAGTTGTATCTTTCTATATTGTTATCAATTCATTTCACTTGTAGAGCTTCTATAAATCAGAAAAAAATAAGTATTTTGATAAGGATTGCAAATAGATGACCTATACAATTGTGTACATATTTGTGGAACTGTGCAACCAAGTTCCAAATATATGTGTGTATATACATACACTTTAAATATATTGACACAGTGTTAAACATAAAACTTTAAAAAGTATATTAGGGAATTCCCTGGTGGTCCAGTGGTTAGGACTCCATGCTTTCACTGCTGAAGGCTCAGGTTCAATCCCTGGTCAGGGAACTCAGACCCCACAAGTCATGCAGCCAAAAAAACTAAAAAGTATATTAATATCACCACATATCACTCCAATAAAAAATATATGTATAATCACTTTAAAGAAATATACTAATGAAAATAATGTCATGACGAACTTTTGTAGGGCAAATTGATAATTTGTATAATTATAACATTTTATAACATGGTAAAAATGTCATTAGGCTTCTTTTCTAATGAGCCAAATTATCTCTTTGACTTATGGGAGGTTAACATCAAAAGACATTATTAAATTAAATAAAGAAGTGAATAAAATAAACCTCTACCTGTGCAAAAGTCAAATTGACTTAGTGAACTGTATGAAGTCAAATTTTATTTAGAAAATGACATTTAAAACTCAAATATACAATATAAGAAACAGTTTGGTAAAATAGTGAAGACCTAAAAAATTGTGTTTGTGTGTGTATATTCATTCAATCTAGGAATATCTTTTGAAATGGTTCTTGTCAAAGACTACTGTTCCTTTGGACCAAAAAAATCACTGAGATAACATGCTCCTCAGGTGGCCAACAATTTTATATGAAAACAGTGGATGTGTTCAGCTGGTTAGAAGTGGTAGGATACTCTGGAAAATGGTATTGCATGTAACTCTGGGTTTCAAGACTGAATGTAGAAGATGAAGACAAAAGGCACAGATATTGAAAAATATAATTTGATTTGCCCAGATTATACTACCAAAATCACAACAACATGCTATTAAGGAAAAAATTTATTAATAAAGATAACTATTTAGTAGGGTACAGGTCAAAATAAATAAGCAATAAAAGTGATTTCTAATTTATGAAGCAATGTTATATCCTCTTTTAAATTACCTCTAATTTATATAATAATATCTAACGTAATTGATACTATATGTAATATGTATATAAGTATATAATATGTAAAATATATAACTGATATTATATACATATTTTTAAAACAATGGGTACAGTCACACCAA